CGAAAAAGGTATTTTCAAGTAAACGGAAAGTAAATAATTATCACTCACGATAATAACTTTAGTGGAGTATTTTTACCTCAATGAATATTGTATATTATCGTTCAACAGACAATACTATCACTAAATAAGTGATCAAATATATAAGGGAGAAGTAAATGTTTGCTGATATAAGTTTAGATTTGAAGTTAAGCAACGAATATATAATTCATAAGCTATGGTCTTGGCACACAACTTGAATCTCACAGCTAAAGTACAAAATTTTATCATGCGATTCTGATCAGTGATATAAGTTTTTGATCAAGTTACAAACGTAGACCAAAAAGAAACTACAGTACTCACACCATAACCTATGTTTCTTCTAAAATTATATATATTCATTCAAAGATTATCTATTATACATTTTATAGTATGTGCCAATCCCTATTTTTATTATCTGTTTTAAAATGTAAAAGAAGTTTTCTTCTCAGTAAAACCAAAACTGCGTATTTGTAAAAATGTATATCAACGTGTGGTTTACCGAACATTTAACAATAAGGGAGCATTCTGACAGTGAGCGTAAATTCATGATATTGCATTCCGAATTAATGGTAGATTTCCTTTCGAACTGCCTGAAGTAATAATACAATGGATCGAAAAACAATATAATATATCTTTATAATTAGTGTAAACGAAATTACTGAAAGATTTTCAATAAAAACTTTATTATATTTGTGTTGTTTTGTAAATCTATATCTACCTATTATTGACTAAATAATTTTGTGTCTTTATAATTCATCTCCTATAATTTATTGTCAAAGACTAATTGTAGAAAAGGATCTTTATAAAAAAACGTAACTTTAAGAATAATTTTGTAGAAGCTTATCAAAATCAGATATTTTTAAAACATAGGATTTTTTTATGACGAATACACTGACTGTAATTTAATTAAATACCATACTGAATATTCCACGTATTAACTAGGGGAGGTTAAAACTCTTGAAAAAGGTCATCGTGCATTACTGATGTATATCTATGTTGTGCTTATTTTAACCCCATCCCCTTACTTCTTTAATTTATTTAAGAATAGAAACCCATATAATATCTGTGTGTATGTTATAACCATATGTGCGTCCTTCATTTAACATAAGAACGTGTATTTAAAAGTAACTTAACCAATATGACTTAAAATAGTTTGAATTCTATATTTGATTACATTATACGAAGCCAAACATTTTAATTATTATTTTTCTTTTGATGTAAGTAATTTGAATTATAACTTATAAATTTTATTTACTCCAAATCAAGCAACAAAAACAATGATATATGCATTGATCACCGTGTTTTACTAGTTTAATTATTCATTTCAGTATCATTTCTTACTCCTTCATAACAAAAATACATATGCTGTTGAAGCAATTTAGAATAGTATTATAGAAATATATTCTTCTAATATTCGGAGCCTGCATACAAAAGTGACTCAAAGAAGTCATAATGAGTGAAATATACATCCATTGTTTTAATTAAAAGTTAAGGAGTCAAATAATCATTTCATTAATAAAACAATAGTGTTCTTGAGTCTTGAATATACTTATTGATAATAAAATCAAACTCATTATTTTGATTGATTTATTAAATATTGCATACAAACGATTCTAAATTGATTTGTTTGATCTGAATTTACACTTGCAAATACTTTTATTTTGTAATTTTTTTATTGTTTTTATATGTAAATCAAGGAAAACCTTTTATTGTTGAAATATTATCCGTATACTTACACATTAAGTCACTCAGGGGTTAATGGAAAGGACTACTTCGGATGTTTCATTGCGTGGTCGAATCAGAACTTGGGAGGTCAATGAAGCAAAGCAAGAAGTCACAGTTAAAGTCCGGAGAGTTGTTAAACTCAAGTGGCAGAGGGGTGGGTGTGCGTGGGTCGAAGGAAAACGGTAAATCCGGTTTAGAGGTCTATTACCCTCGACGACGTACTTATAAGCACAACGTAGGTAGACTAGATATTTTAAAGATTTAGTCCGTGGAGAGGATGTTTGTTTCATTGTAACATTAAAATAAACTCTATTTCCAATTATAATGCATAGACAGAGATGAAACCTCTCAGTATTTCATGGATTCACCGTACGGCTATGAGTCCATATTAACACAAAATGTTCATATATTTTTCGTACCATTTTTTAAATTTCCTAAGGAATATGAATAACACATATTTTTATCCTTGAAACTGTCAATAGCAGAAGTCATGAAATCAAATAATTGAAAGTAATTTTTTTTACTTAATTGTAACAAAAACCAACATTAAATCTTTACTAATATTCATATAATTTAAATAAATATAGTAAAGTGCTATGGGATATTGACTGAAAGTTACAATTTTTATTAAATCATTTTATGTATTTTATGTTTAAAACATAATTTACGAAAATATAAAAATAATTTAACAAGAAAGAACCCGTCAAAAATTGTCGGATTTTTTATAATATGATAGACTTTTCAGAAAATCTGAAATGGCAGTAGACAGAACGCAGTACAAAAATAAAAATAGAAAGTCTTTAACGACTTTTATGAAAATAATTGGTGAATGTGTATAAATATTTTACAAATATAGAATTCCTGTTTTATTCTCCAGTGTAACTGGGAGAGAGAAAGTGTAATCCGGTATTCGGGAGCATTATGTATTTTGTCATTCTAAAAGCTTACCAGAAACATAAAAAAAAATGTAAATCGTGATATACACAATAATTTTATAAATAAAAAAAACTACTTTCTGTATGATAAAATACGGGATTCAAAAATTGTATACTAGTTAAACTTTTAGAAGAATTAGAAAACGCCATTAAGGATAGGGCTAAAATCAAAATGGATGATATTTTATTACAGAATGGCTGATTATCAGATCCAAAAGTTTAAAAAATCTATTTGAAAACTAGTAGGGTTAGACGTCTTTACTATAAAAAATTAAAGATCAGAAATAAGAGTTTAAAAGACAGTGTTGATAAAACGAAAAGAAATTTTTAAACGTAATTAAAGGTTTATATGTACATATATTCTAATAAGCTTAATTACAAAGGCGTTCTACTAATATTTCATTTTTTTTGTAGCCACTGTATACATTACAATAATAAAACTATAAAGGCTATGCTCGTTTAAAATATTATTTCATTTCTAAAAACACTGAAGTAGGTTGTTTTAACTACTTTCATCTGGTCCTTGTAGGCGCGAACAGACGGTAACAAATAATAATAATTAATCGACCACACAAACGTTGAGCCTATTCTTCTGTGGACTAATTAGTTCATGAATATGTCTTTTTTTCTTAGGTTACAATTAATGTGTAGGTTACAATTAATGTGTAGAGTAAACGTATATATACATATCTGCTAGATTAGATCGATGGCCAAGTTTCAGATATCAGAAGGTACAGGTAACTAAAAATTGTGCTCACATTACGTCTTATGGTCTGAGGTTTGATTAACAAATAATCTTCTATATATATAAAAATGGATTGCTGTTCCTTAGTCTCGCTAAAACTCGAGAACGGCTGAAACGATTTGGCTAATTTTAGTCTTGAAATACTCCTGGAAGTCCAGGGAAGGTTTAAAAGGTGAGAAAAATTGGAATAATTGCCGGGAAACCCCTAAAAACAGCTCTTTTCTATTTCCCATACAAACGTTTTTTTTGACATTAGATTTGACAACTAACTAATATGTCAATCATTCTGTTTGATTGAAACAGGCAAGACCTGATTATTTATGGCCTCTAAGACGGAATAGAGTTCGCCTGGTCAGCTATACCTACATATATTACTCTTGACCAAACTAACGCGGACGAAATATTTTGTCCGGAGAAATTTTTGTCAGACGCTATAAATATCGACAACAAAAACATAATATCACAGTCCGATACTTGATTTTCAACTGTACCTAATTGTTGGGGGCTATTTAAATGTATTTTCTAAGTTTCCAGACCAATCCTGAAGTCCAAATAGTATATTTTAAACCAACACACATTAAAATGCAAGTAGAATGGTCTTTCGGACTTATTTACAGCGACTCTTTAATACGTTTAAGGGAAATTTTGATAATCAGCAGATCAGTAGATTATTCGAAACTAGTGTTAGAAACAAATCCTCAACCATTAGAGTAAAAATAATATATCGGGTCTAAGCATACAAACTGCCGGAAGAAAAATATCATACAAATATATAAAAAAGATATTAACGTTTTCCAATTCATTAGTTTTATTTTCATTTCATGCCCGTGTTGCTATTCTTGTCGTCTTTTTACCTCAGAAATAATATATGTACATTGTACATTGCAAATAGCATCTTTTATTCATGATATCGTTGGACCCAACTTTAAATATTTCCATCTTTAAGTCATTATTGAGAAAAGAAAAACTTATGCACAACCTGGTAAAAGAAGCAAACTATTATTCAATATAATAAAATTTTATTTCAACTTAAAAATCCCAATCTTAAACTTTATATTTAAGTCATAAGTAATACTCACTTAATCGAGTAATCACAGGGCAAAAATGCTTTACATTATTTGGAGAATAGCTAATTCAATTCAGGTAAGAATCACTAGAAGAGAACAGGGTATCAAATTTAAAAAAAAAGGTATCGAGATCAGTTTGAGAGCTAGAATATCATACAAACTTTGTTATATACGCACACACACGCACATATAGATACCTACATCCAACTTAAAACACTCCTAAGTTAACAAATAAACACCAAATCCTACTTGTACATAACTAACAACAACGATGAGAATATCGTTACATGAAGAAGGAATAGTTAACTAGGGGGCATATAATATTTTAAATTCAAAGCTTCAATTTTGTGACATGGAGCTTGTTAATGTTAATAACGTAAACATAAGAGAGACGAAACTTCTCAGCATTCCATGGATTCACCGTGCGGGTGCCGGGTCCATCGCGTTGCAGGGGGAGGAGCTTCAACAGTGCCTGGGACTTGCGACCCAAGTGTAGGTTTAAGGGGCCCCTTAACTAACGCGCGTTATACGCTCACCTCCACTGTCCAAGCTCCTCTCCCTACCTAACCAAATTTGAAAAGAACCTACTAGGGCTGCCTTCGATGTACGTTCCAAGAATGCATTAATGTGAGTTCTGGACAAGCCCAAGTCCTTTAGTAGGTTATAGAGAGATTTCGCTGTTATACCTCTCGCTCCCACCTCTACCGCGTACAAATCTACTACGAACCTATTTCGAGTGAGTTCGTTTGTGAGCTCGTAATATTTGTTGACCTTGATGGTATGGTCTTTGGGGATGTTGGTTTCCCAAGGGACCGTAAGCTCTATCATCACTACGCGCTTTAAAATTCGCGAAAACAAAAATATATCCGGTCTGGAGGCCGACGCACAAATATCCTCGGGGATTTTATATTGTTTTTCATACGTGTCCATCATTATAGTCCAATCCGACGCCGCTTTAAGGATGGAGTAAGGCTTGACGTTTGATTTTGTAGCCCTAGTGCCTTCTCTCACAAAACCTACTGATCGTGCGTTTGTGGTTATTCCCTTTTGCGCTCTGGCTACCGAAAGACTAACCGCTTCACGTATGACTTCTAGAACCCTATCGTGACGACGCGAGTATTGACCGCTGTCAAGTAGTACCTTACATCCCACCAGCAGATGCTTAGCAGTTCCAACTGCCTTTCCACAGATATAGCAAGTTTTTTCGGTACTTTTACCCCATTTTACTAAATTACTCTGATCTGGGAGAGTCATCTGGAACGCATTGAGATAGAATTTTAGCAATGCTGGCGACCAATCATAAATTAAAGTGCGCCATTTTAATGCTAATGGGATGCAAAAATCTCCTATGTCTAACCACTCGTTCTGCATTTCTAAATTCATTGCATGGATCTTATATTTATCATTCTCGTCTTGCCGAATAAAAGACTTCAATATATCCGCATCTTGGACTTTCCTATTCGATCCTAACCCCACTCTGTTACTTTGTGCTCCTATCATAAATTGCTTATGTAATTGGAGTCGTGACTCTATATTTTAATAATATACACGTAATATTTATCCACAAGAATACAAAAGGTTGTACTTTCAATATTAATAATAAATAAGGAATGTAAATTTCAATATTCAAATTCAATCTGTTTGAAATGCATGCTTGCATTAAGGTTGGCCTCCTTTCTAAACACGTATGAGTTGAAATCAATATGCCCCCACACAAATCGGAAATCTCTTATTCCTCGTAGACATGTTTGTGGATGTTTACATTTTGTATTCTTCAATATTAAAAGAAGTATTTATTCGCAATAAATCACTTGCATCTTTTTCTGTTTTCGGTTTTGGCATAAGTGGTAAAGTGCAATATATAAAGATACAAAAATACAGTAATTAGAATATGTTTAGATTTTTTTTTTTTCAAAACTAACATTGGTGATTATAAGACATTAACAGTTTAAAGTATTCTGTCGATTTGAAATAACTGACAAAAGTTAGCTAAGGGTTAAACATTAACAGTAAATTAAGTTAATTATTAGCTTGTGTTATTCGTAAATGAGTTACTTGTATCACGTCAATAAAACTATGCTATCCAAGAAAATTGCATTTAAATATATCACCAAAGAATCGCTCCCTGTCTTAGATTATCCTTACTTGTGGCAAAATTATTTTAATATTTTGAACCATTTCATTTTAAGACTAATGGTAGCAAACATCAAAATATAAAGGAAAGCTGTTTTTTAAGATAAAACTAATAAAATGTGTAACGTTATGAAATACTCGTACAATACGAATTCCTAAAAGAATAACAAATTTTCAACTTAAGAAATATTAACAAAACAAATATAAACCTGACTTTTTTCATAGTTAATTAACTAAGAAGAAACTTATTGCTTTAGTGTCATGTTTTTAATACTGTATCATTAGCTGCTGTCTATCTGTCGTTGGATTTAATTGTACTTAAAAAACAAGCACATAATCTACTCGTAATAACTATATGAATGCTTATAACTTAATTTTTTCTTATTACATGGAAAATCCTTTTTGCTGACAGATGTAGTTCAAAAGCTCAACCTGACTTTGAATTCTGTGTTAATGCTTTATGAATTAAATTAAAATAATTTAAATCACTATAATTTTTGTATAAATTTGACATAACTAATTTTCTCGATTACTTGATGTTTCTTTTTTTATTTCTTAGAAATATAACAAAAAAGTTTGTTTGTAATTTAAAATGTGTTATTGACTGTAGTAAGCTTCTAATGTATTAAAAAAGATTTTATCGTGTAGTTTTTTCTAGAGGGTTTCTAGCCGTAATACTTTCATTAAGCAAGTCAAATATTTCCCAAACTTAGTTTCTTCCTAATCCCATAGTGGGTCTTATACATAATAAATAAGTTACTACTTCCAGTTATACCCTTCAACTGAGGAATTAATTTAAACTCCTGTTAATGAATATATGTTGTTATAATAAATTTAAATATTAGAACTCAAAGGCCAAACCGTCCTGAGATACTAAAGCAACTAGTAACACAATTAACAAGTATGCTACATATATGACATTTTTTAGGATAAGAAGTATTGATAGGCCTTCCAATACTGAAAGGTTTCTGAGAGATTATAACAAAAAGTAAAATTAAAATTAATAGTGATAAAATTTTCTCTAATTATTGACCAATGGGAACAGATAAAAAATATTTATCTTATTAATCTGTTTAAAGGATCTATATAAAAGTTTTTAATTTGCGACGAACTTTTATGTGTGTAACAGGGTAGGAAAACCCGTCTTGTAAAATATTATACGCAAAGAATTACGGACGTATGTACATACCTTTCAATTTTCAACATATGTCTAAATCCTACTCTACAGTAGTCTGAATAACTCTCTAAAGAAGTTCTCTTAGACTCTGATGTTAAAACCCTACACTACACAATGATAAGGCGTTTGACCGTCACTCGCTGAAGTCTAACAAAGGCGACATCATTATGAAAATCACCCGACTCTAAGACACTCGACCAAATTTCAAGAAAAGGTGCAATAGCAAACCGAATTCTTTCTCTTGTGACACCGTAAAAGCTGATACACAAATATAACAAAATTTATATCATTACATAATTATTGTTCTGTACGATATAAAACAATTCAGCACATTTTAGGACTAAACTCACTAGAACTTCATTCAAGATTTAACTAATTAACCTATAGTGTAGTCCAGGGATTCATTTGTTTTAAAATACTCGTAGGTTGAACAAACTTAATGTATCTCATGAGGTTTAATAAGCCAAATAACATTTAATTGTATTTGAAATAAAAATGTTTCTAGAATAAAAAGAAAAATAAAAAGTAATTCCTATCTTCATCTGACTTCTATTTGAGCATAAATAAATTTATCATAGTATTAAAAAGCTGAAAATACGTACATAATCTAACTTTCTCCCTATTGAAAGAAACGCGACGACAATAGAAAGGTTTGAAAGAACATCCAATATTAAACGAAAGGGTTGGTCAGTTGAAATATTCTATGAGATTACAGTTTTAATATGACTCACCAAACTTGATATTTATATATATCAAAAAGTTATGCTGAATAGCAATAAAGTTATGTTTTAATAAATAAAAAGTAACTCTATGTAATGAAAAATAGTTTCATATTTCCATTTTTTCCAAACTTTAATATCTTATTAAAGTTTTTATATGAGACGGTGATGTTTATTTTTTTTGTACTTTTTAATTAGATTTCTTAAAACCGTCCCCAAAGTTAAGATGTCTAGAAAATTATAAGATTTTTTTTGTGTAAACTTTAATAATATTTTGTAATTACCTTAGTGTAGTTTCTTGCTTTATTTCTTTCGTATTGAGTATAAACATTTACCTTCGAAAATGATCAAGAATAGTTAAAAGGGTTTCTTCAGTTGCAATAAAATTGCAAAATAAAATTGCATTGAGTCGGAGGGGTGGTGTGGTCTAGCCACTGATGCCCCTGCCGATGGCGGAGTCCCTTTCGGGAATTGTGCGTAGTGAGCGGAAGTATGGCTCGCCGTTCCCGCTCACTAGCCTACGCACTGCGCAAGAGAACGCCGAGGTGGTTTAGTGGGTGGAAATCCCACACGCCCCTGTCGCGTTTCCCCCGCGGCAGGAAGTCTTTAAAAGATTCCCCTCGATAAAAAAAAATCAGATGGATAATACGGTTTTTAAGTCATTACTATACTCGTAGTAACTGCTATATTGATAAATTATTTATCGCACCGTTGTTTTTCATATTTTTACATTATTTTGTACAACTTTAAATACTATCAGGCATCATACGATATAATATGGTTATAACTTCGTTATTTCTTAAAAAATCTGTTTATTTAATAATTTTTTAAAGCATATAGCTCGCAATTGTCTAATATGTAAGGTTCAGTCACCAAAAACTTAAAATCACCTGCCTGTGACCACATTGGTTGATTTTACGATTGTCTACTGCACTCAATAAGCAAGCAAATCAAGCTATAATTGGGGGTAGCGGTTAAATAACCGGTCTAACTGACAAAAACTTTCATTTTACTAAATTGTTATTACAATTGCTGTCAATTAAGAAAAACGTTTGTTAAAATTTAAAAAATTGTAATTAATGTCCCAGTATATCAGAAAATCATAGTTTCATTTATAAGTGGACTCGCATAAATCTTTCTTTTGCATAAAAAGAAATGTACAAAGGGCGGACTTAACGCTATTACAGCATTTTCTGCCAGCCAACCCAGAATAGTGTAGGAGAGTAGTAAGTAGGATGTGCACGGAAGTTAAAGAAACATTTAAAATATATACATGGTATAAAATACATAAATATACATATACATAACATACATAAATTTCCTAAAACGAGAAACGTGGTCGAATTTGCGTAAACTAAAGATAAAGCGAATGCCAGTGTTAAGGAGACGATTAAGTTTATGCAGGTGTTCTTCCGACAGATCTAGGTAACAGGAGTCACCGTAATCAAGAATTGGAACCAAGAGGGTAGTAGCAAGCTGGATTTTAGTTTCCATGGGCAAACAATTTTTTAAACGCATCATGGAATATATAGTGGCGTAAAACCTACGAGAAACTTCTTTAATCTTAGACGTTGTTATGTGAAATCACTGACACACCCGAAATTTTTTAAACCTATATAACATGTAAAAAATCTTATATAAAAATTTACATTTGTTCCCTTAAGTGACATTCAAAGAATAGAAAATCGTCAAACTAATACTATAAAGCTTCATTAAGTATCTTTGTACAATAATAAAAATAGCCTTCGATTTAAAAAAAAACATACTATATTTATGTTAGTAGGATAATATAACACACAACGATAGTTTCACCAGTTACATGTACTATTAAAATATTGATTAATTTCACTAATGATTTTTACAGAAAAGGTCTATTTGTAATTTGAGTATAGAATTACTAATACATATTACATGAACCTCTGTACCCGGCTTTTACTAACCGTACGAGGACTTGATATTAAAATATTATTTACTGTCTTTAAATGTAACTATTTTCTGTCGACTATTAAGTAGTTTTCAAACTAGAAACAAAAAGAATCATATAATCATTTCTTTTATTAAAGTTTTTCAATAAGAAATCTTTGATTAAGTATTTAAGAGTTTCACTGTAATCTTATAACATAACGATTGGAGGAAATTATCACTTCAACCTCTGAATAGATCATTAACGACATTTTCTACTGTCGTGTTTAAACTGTGATGTTATCAGAATAATTGGCCAGAAGTACATATTTCACACCCAAGACAGATTGTCGATTTTGTTCTACGTTTAGGTTACAAACATGTTCTTCATTACTTAATGAAATAGCTATGATGTCATTATTTATAATTCCTACTGTATTTAGCTATAGTAGACGATGGTTATACAGGAAACAAAAAAAAATATAAAATTAAGATTTACTCATGTATAGGTCAAATAATGTAGTGATATTTATGAAATAGTCGGTTCCACTATTTTTTATGTAACAATA